CAAGGGTATGAGGGGATAGGGAAACAAGGCAGCTAATGGAGTTAAGATACAGATCAGCCATGATCGAATTATGCTGTGGCGATGCTTAATGGGCTGAATGGCCTCCTTCTGTTGGAATGGGGCAGAAGGAGAAAGCATTGTTGACGATGCTGTGGCTCTGAAATGTTGAGTGAAAATGGAATCAAACAACAACGGTTCCACTTATCTAGACCAGGTGATGAAAGGGTGTCGAAGGAAGATGTCAGTGACTGCAAGGGGGGTAATGGTGGGTGGGTAGGATGAGTGGGAACATGTTGTTGAGGTTTACCCAAAACAACCCTGGGGTTACAGCAAGCAATTTGGACATCAAATGGCATGTCTTCGTTGTAGGGCAACTGAAGTACAAGAAGTTTTGCTGCTATTATGCAGGGTTTTGGTGAGACCACATCTGGAATTGTGTGTGCAGATTTGGCCTCCAGATTTACAGAAGTACACACTTGTATTGGAGGTGGGATAGTGAAGGTTCACTTGATCGATCCTTGAGATAAGAGGGTTGTCCTATGACGAGAGACTGAGTAAATTGGGTTGATATTCTCTAGAGTTTAGCAGAATAAGGCAGACTTGATTCTGAAGGGTTTTGATGGGGTCAATACTGAGAGGTTGTTTCCCCCTGGCTGGGGAATCTAGAACATGAAGGCACAGTCTCAGGGTAAGGGGATGATAATTTTAGGCTGAGATCAAGAGATTTCTTCACTCAGAGGGAGGTGTGAACCGTTAGAATTCCCAGAAATTGTTAGAATTAAAACCCCAGAGGACTGTGAGTGATCCATCATTTAAGACTGGGATAAACACGTTTTTGGCCTCTCAGGGGATATGTGGGCACAAAAGTGGTGTTGTGGCAGAAGCATGATCGGATTCAGTGGTGGAGCAGGCTTGAGGGGCTGAATGGCCACCTCCTATTCATGGCCTTGTGAAAGTCAGCAAGTAAGATGGCTCTGGCAATTGGCGTTCCCCTTTGGCAACTCCCATGAGGGGAATACAAGGAAGTTATGGGCTTGTGCAGAGTAGATTCAAGCCTTGCGCAGCTGTGAGCTGGAAGGCAAAGGAGTTGTGATAGGTTGGGTTAGAGATTGTGAGGCAGCATGGGTAAGGTACCCAAGGTGGAGAAACGGAAGGTTGGCATGGACAGACAAGAGATAGGGCATAAAGGACCAAGAGTTACAAAGAGAGACAGGTGTAACGGGTTCAGGTCTAGAACATTACCAAGATGTGCATGTGAACGGACATTGGGTAATATCGAGGTGGAGGGCACGAGGAGAGACCTGTCTTGGTTAGAAATAGATGGAGAGGTGACAACATGGAAGAGCCCAAAGGGATGGAATTGAACAGCTTGGAGTCAGATTCCAAAGTCCAGGTTTAGGGTCAGTTTAGGACAGCAAGCTGTTGAAGGAGCAGATTATTAGCAGGTAATCTCTACCCAGCACTCCTTTATTATTGGATGTAACAAATGCACCCAGCGCAGAAAATGAAACCAAAGAATTGCTTGTTTCCAAAAGGCCTTAAGAAACAAAAAAATAGCAAGTCTATGTACAACTAACACCAATTTGTGTGCATGAGGCACTTGACGAGGCACTGGAAGTGGGCACACTTGCACAAACTCTCAAAATTCCTCCCTGTTAGCTCTTTTTTTTTCCAACGACAACAGGCCCAAGAGGCTTAAAAGAAACTCTAACTTTTCTTTAATCTTCCAGTGGTCCGCACAGACAGCCTGAAAGGTCGTAGAGGTCGACTTCCATCCAAACCAAAGAGTGTTCAAGAAGCCACGCCTTCAAATGTTCCAGTTAGTCTCATCACAGCGCTGGTCAGGGCACATATTGATTCCAACCCAATCATGTCCAATCTAGATTATTCCAAGGTAAATATGAGGCGACAAAACAGTTGAGGGGTTTGAAAAGGAAACTGTTTGTATCAGGGGAGTAGGAGGCAGCATATAAACCCGTTTGCAAATCCAGTGAAATTCTTCTGACTTATTTACCAACCATCAGGCCCAAATTTTGACTCTTAGCTGCCCGTCTCCACCCGCATGCAGCAGAGAGATTGAAGCCACCACGAAGGCCCAGGCCTCATCGAACCATTGAGTTGTGGGCATCAGGCAGCCCCAGAGGCCACTCAGCCAATTAAAGCTCTGTTAAGGGCATGGCAGGGCCCATGGGCAACAGCAATGACAACATTGGTTATTCATACTGAGCCATGGAAGGAATGCTAAACATACAAGTCCAGGCCTCTTTTGCTCTATCATCCGACAACAGCATTGAGGACTTGTGTCCTATAATGGGAATGATGGTTCAACACGTGTCATTTGTTTTTATGTGTGTGTGTGAGTGTATATGTGTGAGAGGGGTTGCTTACTTTGGAAAGCTATAAGTGGCAATGGGAAGGTGGCAAGGTGAATTGACTGAAAATGTCTCTTGTCTCAAGGAGGCCCGTAACTCTTTCCCTCCCCCACCCTGCCAGCCAGGAGGCCGTTTGCTTACCTGCAGTTCCATTCCACATTCTCCAAATTAATACATATTCATTTGAGGTGAAAATGTCATTCACGTTCACCTCAACAAATAATAGCCTGGAGGGGCGCAAAGAATTGAAAGACGGCAAATGAATGGCTCTGCGCGAAAAGGGAAAAAAAAATGCCTGGCGCCAACTTGTACAAGCATGAAATTTGCCTTCAGAAATGATTTGAGTGGTCGCTTCTGTGTTGCCCACCCAAGCCTGGAGTAAATGTGATCAGAAAGCAGGATGCATTCTTTGTCTAATAATAGGAGAATACCAACCAACATACAAAGCCCGAAATGTCAGACAGATGTACACAAGTCCAATGCTTGACTGACAGCGGTAAATAGTATGCTTTGCAGAGAAATCTCACTCCAAATTAAGCCAACATTCCTTACTTTTGTTTGCCAGTTATAAAAGAAAATAATTGTTCTCTTCAGCAGAAATGTTCTCTCGTTGACTTACAATGTCTGGTACAGTTCCAGGAATCTAGCGTTTATCAGCCACAGGAAGATGAGGCTGGAGACATCCGACAGTTTTACGAGTTGTTGGCTGGTTCAATGGAAATGATACGCAAGTGGGCGGAGAAGATCCCGGGATTTAGTGGTTTGCCCAAGGAAGATCAGGACCTACTGCTGGAATCTGCTTTCCTTGAGCTGTTCATCCTCCGGTTAGCCTACAGGTTGGTATGGGAACCCAATAGCCCCATCTGGAAGGACATCTCTGCCTCCATTCTTTTCCTCATATTTACCACAGGGCAATTAAGAAGGTGTTTGGCACGCTTGCCTTCATTGCTCAGTCCTTTGAGTATAGGAGTTGGGACGTCATGTTGAGGTTATACAGGACATTGGTCAGGCCTCTTCTGGAATACTGTGTGCAATGCTGGTGTCCCTGTTATAGGAAGGATATTATTAAATTGGAGAGGGTTCAGAAGAGATTTACCAGGATGTTGCCGGGAATGGATGATTTGAGTTATAAGGAGAGGCTGGATAGATTTTTTTTCCCTGGAGCATAAGAGGTTGAGAGGAGGTTTATAAAATCATGAGGTATAGATAAGGTGAATGGTAGGTATCTTTTCGCTAGGATGTGGGATTTCAAGACCAGGGGGCATATTTTTGAGGTGAGAGGAGGAAGATTTAAAAAAGACATGGGGGGCAATTTTTTTCACACAGAGAGTAGTTTGTGTGTGGAATGAACTTCCAGAGGAAGTGGTGGATGCGGGTACAGTTACAATGTTCAAAAGACATTTGTGTAAGTTCATGGATAGGAAAGGTTTGGGGGGATATGGGCCAAGCGCCGGCAGGTGGGACAAGTTTAGTTTTGGATTATGCTTAGCATGGACTGGTTGGACCAAAGGGTCTGTTTCCGTGCTGTTTGACTGTATGATTTTCCACTGTTAATGACTCCAAAATACTGCATACACTCGAGTAAAAGTCAATCTCTTGTAAATACCGACCCCATGCTGCCTGAAAAGGACCCAGTTTTTCACCTACCTCGTGTAAACATTGAGCTTCCTTTTGGAGGACTCAAAGCCCTGAAAGTGTATAATCTTCAGGATCACATCAGAAACCTCAATACATTGTGCCTTTGAAAAGTTCCACTTACCATATTCACTCCAGACCCTGGTTGTCAATTAAGACAGGAAGAATGTGGGTTGACTTTGGGGAAGAAACTGACAGATCAGAGAACAGCAATAAACAGTGTTCATAGAAACTGGACCAGCATCTAGCATGAACTGAAATGACTACCTGGGCCTTGTGTCCTAAATCATCAACCCTCAGCCTTCCTAGGGAGTCCAGGCCTTGTCCATCAGATCCTTGCCAATGCAGCTCAGTGTGAAACAACAAGGTGCAGGGCTGGATGAACACAGCAGGCCAAGCAGCATCATAGGAGCAGAGAGGCTGACGTTTCGGGCCTAGACCCTTCATCAGAAAAGGGGGAGGGGAAGGGGGTT